CAGTCCATGTGTCATGCTGGTGAAGGTTATGTGAAATTCACATACATTTTACGTGATCTCATGGTGAGAAAATGTTCTGTGCGTAACCTTGAAGTTCAAGTTGATGACAGAAGATTGTTGGAAGATTTGGTTTTTAACTTTGATTGGAATTCAGAAAAAAAAATCTTCATTTTTATTAATCGAGAAATGAAATAGCGAACGCAGATTATTTGAGCTACTTATAATTTCAATTGGCGAACTATATGATTATTCCAGCAAATGGGGGATTTTTTGAAAGATTCCAGATCATCAGTTTCTGGCTAAATAAATGGTAAGAAATCAACTATTTACGTTGAACAAAAAAATAGAACGATGATCAATTTTCGCTTTCATTATTTTATACAGAAATCAGCGATCTTAATGAAAATACCGAGCTCCCAGAAACTGAAGCCCTTTCCTGAAGTAAAAAACGTGAGTCCTTATAGATGCTGTTCCACCCCAGGATGAGGAAAAAACAGGCAACAGATCAAGTGAAATTATGAAATAGGTGGCGCACCAATTAAATACAAAATTTTGTTGTATTTGTATTATTTATGTTTTATACATTTGGAAAATAAATGTGTCACCAAAATAACTGGCTTCATATACTTCATGAAAAAATAAATCGAAATTTACCACAAACTCACTTAAATATAACTATAAAATCCTGTGAACCTTACTAGAAAATTCACGTAGCTTTTAAGTGTTGCCAATTTGAATATCATCTGCAGGTCCGGTAACATTTACGTGAAAATCACTTGATTTTTATATGCAACTTAAACGGGATTTCATTCCCAAAACACGTAATATTCACCTGAAAGGTACGATGGAAAATATCCACGTACCTTTTCAGGTGAATATTACGTGAATTTTATTTGCAGTATAATAATGACTTTATTCAGGTTTCAAGGTATACAGAACAAGGTAAACTAATCAATGTGAATGCTTGTTAGGTGTGGTGCATACAGAAGGTATGATAATGGAAACATATTCTGTAACACAAAGCTCCTCTACGGTATTGAAATTCTATGTTCAGCAGCTGACACTGTGATAGATAAGCTGAAATCTATATGCAACAATGCGATTCGAACCGTATCCAGTTTGTTGCCTACGACACATGCAGATACCGCCTGCGTGGAGCTGGGGGGCTTCTTTTCGCCCACGTAGTTGCCAGTACGGTGTGCAAATGAGCAGTGAGTTACATGGAGATGACATCCGGGAATGACGAGACAACCCTCATGACAGAGGTCAACAGACTATTGAATCGATTCTGTAAGTGTAACCTCCCACCTATATCCAAACTTCATCGCTGCGGTTCAAGAAGTTGAAGCCTGCATGAGATCCACAATCATATTAGGAGCAAGTTCAGAGCTGGAGACAATTCACTCGTTCTAAAAAAAAATCAGTCACTGAATGGCTGAACAAGAATTATAGCGGACACTGGCATCGGAATAACGGGTCTAAATCTCTGCGCTTCCCATCGTTTACCTGATCTTTGTTCGGTTTTTACTGCTGAAGCCACGGCAGTATTAATTGCAGCCACTACACCGTCAGCAAAACCGCTCCTGATTTTATCGGACTCAGTCAGTGTTATTTCTGCTCTCTCTTCTGTACGCTCTGGTCACCCATGGATTCAGGCCATACAGGACTATGACTTGCCTAACATCGTCTTCGCATGGATACCTGGCCACTGTGGAATAAAAAAGAATGACGAAGCGGACCATCTAACAGCCTCTGGGTTAACAGTGAACTATTTCACAAATGAAGTCCCCAGCCACGATACCAAATTGTGGCTCAATTCTGTTTTTCACTACTCATGGTCAACTATCTGGAATAATCGCACGACACTGTTCTTACGCAAGGTCAAAGGATGCATCCACAGATGGGAGGACCTTCCTGATCCCATTAGCTAAAAAGGTAATATCCCGACTTCGCACCGGCCACACAAGAAGCTCACACGATATGAGTGGCAGAACTTTTCATGTAGAGTGCGATCTATGCCGGGTCTCTTTGTCCGTTGAGCACTTTCTCTGGGCCTGCCCAAAATATGCCGATCTTCGGGAAAAACATCAAATTCCAAACAGCATCTGCAACGTCCTTCAAAACTACCAAACTTCATCAGTAGCATGGATCTGTTTCCTTAAAGATGCAGATCTCCTCCACCTCATCTGAAATTCCAACAGAAGAAAACAAAATAACCACTAGTAAATCCACTTGACAAAACACAAGAAAGTTAATACCAGAAAATGACGTGACACCTCAACGGATATACTCACCACATCATAACCACAGATTCAACCAATTCAACGACCGCCAACGAAGATAACAACCAACTACATACGACAAAAGGCAAAAGGCAGAATAGACAATGATACAATTAAATGACAAATGAAAATGAACATAATTACGAATAACCAGTAGAACTAGCGGTAACAAGTCCAGGGGAGCTATAATTAAGCTCTCTACTCTCTACAGCCAAATCTTGGGGTTCTCTCTGTTTATACTCTTTAGTATGACGCGCTTGACATAGATGGCCCACAGCAACTCACGAAGAGCTACTGATTCCGATCAATAGCGGTGCGGCTTCTTCCTCCTTCTATGGATGCACATGTGGGCTGCAGCTCGGTGCTTGCAGACAGCCTTTCGTTACGTACTGGAGAACACCACCACTCACCACGCGGTGATTGTGAGACCAGATGGACGCTTTTCACAGGCAAGTGGTGATAATTTAATTATCATAGCACATTCATACAATTTTCAATAGTAACAATTTTAAAAAATGATAAAGTCTCAGATACGTAGAAATATATCTGATCGATTGGTGATAACATTATTGAAATTGGTCCAGGGGCAGCTGAGTTATTAACGTTCAAAATCTTTCATAATCTTGTTACATGTTCCATTTTCGTATTTCACAAAGTGTACTCCCATATAGAAATCACAGAAGTAGTCCTACGTTAAAAAAAATCATTGTGATTGTGCTAAGAAAACGAAGCTTGATATATGATAATCGATATATTTTTTTCAAAATTGAAGAACCCAATTGTTTCAAATATGTAAAAGCTGTTGAAATCAACTAATGTTACTGAAATGTTGTTGGAATTTTGATAAAAAGTGTGTCATTTTTATTTGAAATTAAATATATATTTCCAGAAACATGCAAACGTTAATCTTTGAATTGAAATTAATTGGATCACATAATTGGATTCCATAAAGTAGTTGACTATGCAAGTGATACAACATTTCGTTATTGATTTTTTTACAATAGTTGAGCATTTGAACTGTTTTATTTAGTTACGTTTGTCAGTTTATTTATAAGTGTTTAATGTTATGTTTCAAGTTCAACAACTTCGAATCAATGCTACCACATACAACGGATCGGCTGCTTGAGCGATGGCTGTGTTGTGAGAAAATGTTTTATGCGATATATTAAATCGATTAAATGCTCCATAAAACTTGGAAAATGCTTTTTTAGTGCGTAGCTGCTCAGATTTACGGTCCTGGCCGTGGTTTTTTAGACGGGTAAGCGCCTATAATAGACTTCTAAAAGAAGATTCTATAGAGGAAGCTTCTAATAGGAACTTCCGGAAGAAGCTTCTTATGAAGATTCTAAAAAAACTTCTTTTGTAAGCTAATTCTAGATGCTTGCCTGTCGCTCCGCACCTCTGACTAAAAAAACATGGACTACACAGTATATCTAAATAGCTACACAGTAAAACACTCTTTTTCCAATGTTTAAGAAGCATTTCATCGTTTCCATAGCTGACACTGTGTTGTGGTGATTTTGTGGAAATGCAATTTTTTTTATTTAAATCATGTTTCATTCTCATGAAAATAATTCTCATTCAGTTGTAACATCAACATTTCTAACTGATTTAGATGAATAAGGGCAAACAACAGAATGTAATCGATAGAGTGAATACATTTTTTAGATTTCCGCGCCACATGTACCAATAATATTAACATATGAGCTAGTAATTTCAATGTTCACAACACTGCCGCGTTCTGTCATGACAAAGAAATCGATGAGATTTTGAAGAAAATGTGTATCATCGTATCACTGTAAATATCACGTGAAATCTGTCATTGAAAATTGCATTTACCAGTCCTGTTTGGGTCTGAGACTGAGACTAGTTTGCAAATGACAGCCTGCTCGTGCTCGGATTAACGAGCCTTTCGAGCGGAACAATCTTGTGGACTAAAGTTAAACAGATGAATTCATTACAACTTCTTCAAATCAATAAACCTGCTCGTTAACGGAGGTCGATTTTCCCAAAGCTTTAAATCTTTAACAAATGCCAAAAATTCAACGTCTACAAATCAACCGGGAAAAAAAGCCGTAATCCAACCATTCCGAAAAAAAAAACATAACCCCAACCAACCACCCACTTCCAAACCGCAAAAGGCTGCTCGGAACAAAACATAAAAATAAAACAAACCCGAACACAGAGCATTTAGAGGGTGTGAGAGGGGCGAAACCCAAACATAATAAACGGCACATGCCTCGATTTTACACGACGACCCAGTTCCACCAACACCGGCAAACCGTTTTCATTCAACACGCGAGCAATAATCACTTTTCAGCCGGAGGGAGGCGTGGCTTCGGCGGCTGTGTGCTGTACCTATGTCACAAACAAACAAACAAACAAAGTCAATTGAAATCGGAAGAAGAGGGCGATCGCCGGAGGCAAGCTACCGTTTTCCTATGTCGTGTTCGGACGGAACGCACACAGTCGAGCAAAGGAAAACATGGTGCTTTCCGTGTTGGTATGCAAGCTGCGCGTATTCAGACCATGTGGTTACCAACGGCAACCGCTTGTACGAACGGAGGCTCACCTATACAACTGCACGTGGCTGAGCGAAGAGAACGGTGAAAGAGTCAGAAGGTGCGATCGATCAACACGGTGTGCCAGGCAGGAGGAGGCATATGGGATGGGGCGGCACTGTATGTAGAAACATTTTTCACCCGTCGTTCAGTGGCGTACGAGGCGTTGCATCGATCAGTTGGGTTCGGTCGGGTTCGGTGTCTCACCGTGTGGTTCCGGGATAGCACAGTCAAGCGAAGGAAGGAGCGTCCGCGCGCGGCACCCTTATTAATCTTGTCCGGGCTAGCCGGGTACCTACATGTAGTTCCTTCGTGGTGGCGTTCGAATATCTGTGATAGCGAGAGGCGTGTGTGAGAAGCTGTGAGTGCAATCGTCGGTGTGTGAATAAGTGAAATCAAGAAGACGGAGCACGTGTCCGGTGTTGCCTTCACTCTGTATTCGCCACCGTCGTTGATGTTCCTCGCGGCGACCGATCAAGAAGAAGCTATGGAAATCTAATTAGTGTAAACAATCGAGCCCTTAGTGGAGAAGCAATTAGTTACTAGTGAGATCAAGTGAGCCCGAAAAAGGCAGTGTGAAGAATCCTTAACAAATCTCAGAGCAGCTCGATAAAAAAAATAGTGTTAAAATGCTAGTGCCCCCGGAGATGATTGCCGTGCAATCGAAGCTCATCTATCAGATGAATAAGTACTGCGCCGATCGGGTACAAGCCCGGAAGGCGCAAATCCACAAAACAATTCAGGAAGTGTGCCGAGTCGTGCAGGACGTCCTCAAGGAGGTGGAAGTCCAGGAACCTCGCTTCATCTCGTCGCTGAACGACTACAACGGCCGATTCGATGGGCTGGAAGTCGTTTCGCCGACGGAATTCGAAATCATAATCTACCTCAACCAGATGGGTGTGCTGAACTTTGTAGACGATGGTACCCTGCCGGGATGTGCCGTCCTCAAGCTCAGCGACGGTCGAAAACGTTCCATGTCCCTCTGGGTCGAATTCATCACCGCTTCCGGTTATCTATCGGCCCGCAAGATACGATCCCGCTTCCAGACTCTGGTGGCACAGGCCTGTGATAAGTGTGCGTACCGGGACTCCGTCAAGATGATTGCCGACACCACCGAAGTCAAACTGCGGATACGGGAACGGATTATAGTACAAATCACGCCGGCATTCAAATGCGCCGGACTGTGGCCACGGTCAGCGTCACATTGGCCACTGCCGCAGATACCGTGGCCCCATCCGAACATTGTTTCCGAGGTGAAAACCGAAGGATTCGATATGCTGTCGAAGGAGTGCGTAGCGCTGCAGGGCAAGAACTCGGCGATGGAAGGCGACGCGTGGGTGCTCAGTTTTACCGAGGCCGAGAACAAACTGCTACAAGGTGAATATTTGGGATGGGGACTTCGAAGCTGTCACTAATTAATGTACAATGGCGGTGAAACTAAGCTTTAATGGATGATAATTAAGTAAATACGCCGCTACCGACGGTACTTTGTGCTACGCAGGAGGGGTTTGGGAATTTATCAAACAGGGTCATTTCAGCTGCTTATCTGTCAAAATTGGGCATGCACTTAAAATGCATTTGACAACTAGTTTTATATATTATTGTTGGGATGTCCGATTACTTCTCGATTAAAGGGTGTATTGGATAAAAATGGCACACACATAAGCTGCTGTAACAACATGCTGTATAACCAATTTTGTACAGTCCCAAATTTGAAATCAATTCTTTCGTCATTGTTGCAATAACAGAAAAGAGCACTTCAGATTAGGATGGTCAGCGAACCGAATAAACCCCCGGAATTTTATGAAAAAAAAAACCAGGAAAAATCAATTAACCTTACGATCACCTAATTAGTATTTTTGTTTTCTTTTTAGAATGTACAATTTATGGATAATGTTGTTTTTTTCTACACAATATTATTATAAGATTTACGAAAACTAAGCTTCAGAATTCGTCATGATTTCTGAGTTATGTAAATTTCAATTTTATCAACTAATGTGATATTTTTCAATTGGCTTAATTCCTGATCAAAAATTGAAAATGATTTGATCGATATTAAGATTTATGTTCGGTTACTGTGCCTTGTACAAGGTAGGGTGTTGTAACGTGATATCCCGGGTAGAAGGAAATAGCAAAATCAGAACAAAATAATATCAAATTTTACTTTCAATATCTTATGAAAGTAAAATTTGATATTATTCTGCTAAGTTGTGCGCTATAACAAGTTAATAGCTTGTTCTGCTATCAAAACATAATTTGCTATTGTTATGATATGTTGGTATCATGAATTCAAGAGCTAATTTTGATCTGATAGGATAATATCTTACTAAATGCAGTAATTTAAACAACATAACAAAAGCTTGATGATATATAATAGCAAAATATGATATTAATTTGTTCATTTTGTTCAAAATTCAAGCCTAGTTGACGAGAGATGATTGATTTGTATAGCTGTATTTTACTGGTAATAGTTAAATCGTTTTTCAATCGCCGTAGAATTCCATACTTCTTGCCAATTTTCTTGATGACATTGTCAATGTGAAAGTTGAACTTAAGTGTGTCATCAATAATCACGCCAAGATATTTAATCTCCCGAGCGCGATCAATAGTCTGATCATCAATTACAACAGAGACGTTCTCATTTACTCGATTCCGCGAAACTACAATGAATTTAGTTTTACTCATATTAAATCTCAATGGCTTATACTTCAACCATCTACTTAGAGAACGCAAATCTTCATTCAAGTGTAAAACGGCATCATCTAAATCCTTAGCTGCAATAATAACACAGTACCATCTGCAAAAAGATTAATGTCGCAATATTGTAGAACACGTCGCAAATCATTAATGTACACTCCCGATCATGACAAATTTGTTATGTTCATATATCTGTCATGTTACGTCCAATTTTCGTTCTCTTTAGATCATTTGAAAGGTATTGAATGGAACTTTCCTCGTAGGAGAATTGTTCAATATAATTTTCAAATTTTGTGTGCTAAAAGTTCATCAAAAGTTACAATATTTTTCAAAATTTACTCTGAAGAATAGTGACTGATTTTCTCAGAATTGGGTTGGCCAAATTTTGAAATAAAAGTAGTAGTAGAACACTTATGCTATACCATTCATACCATTCAAATAACCTATGGAGATCGAAAATTGAACGTAAAATGAGAGATCATTGAACAAAACATATTTGCATGGTTTTTTGGGGGTGTCCTTAAACTTATGATCGGTAGTGTATATAATAAATAAAAGGGGCCCTAATACACTTCCCTGGGGCACTCAGAAGTTAGTCCCCACGGGATTGGAAATAGAATCATTAAAAACAGTCGTTTGAGTTCTGTCACACAAATAGCTTTCAAACCATTTATATGCAGTACTTGTGACTCCAAAGCGCTTGATTGATCGTAACAATAAGGGCCTAGACATAGTTTCAAAAGCGCGTTTTAGATCCAAAAAAAACAGCAACAATCGCATCTTCACGCTCCAATTTATCTTTCCACTTCGCTAATACCAAATTCAACGTGGTTTCACAAGAATGACCTTCCCGATATCCCGATTGTTCTGGTATCAACAAACTATTTTTTTTATTGGGTATCAAGCTGGAGCTGCGTGACAGCTTAGTTTTCAAGACTTGACCCATTTGAATAAATTTTGCTTCTATCTTTGACAATACAGCAGAAGGACTAGCCTATGTTGGCCGCTCGAACAGTGGATTCCGTGTGTATTATTTCAAGATAGTTATAGAAAAAATGCTGTTACGTGTGCGCGTAGATACATCCGTGTAGTAAACCGACTGAATAAGTAAATCCGTTTTGAACGAAATATCTAAATTATATAAGTTACGAAAACCGTGCGAATTCCAAAAGCCGTGCGAGACAACCGAAGCGAGAAAAAAGGCTTATTATCATTTGAAAAGTGCCACCAAAATAAATGTGATAGCCTATGTTGACAAGTTGATTAATTTTGGCTTCCTCCCTATATATTCTACTTATTTACTACTGAGCTTTGTATCAAATTAGTTAATTTAAGGAACGTATCAATCATTTCAAGATTTCGCGACCGCACCGAACAAATTCTATTCTACATAAGCTCAAAAGCGTTTGACAAGCTCTACCGAATTGCGTATCACTTCTGCGTAAGCTCCGTAGACGCATTGAATCCGACAGCCGCGAAAAGTTAAACATGCATCAATACCACATAAGGAAAGATCGATTTTACGTAGGGTTTAGTTCATACATTAACATTGACTGCTGTTTACAAATGTAAGTACTTGAACACTAAGAAATAAGTTAACTCAAATGCTTTAACCGCATATATAAGAGATTTCGCGTATTGAAAGAATAATATAGTAATCGAGTAAAACAAACTCAGGGGAATACAATACCTCCAAAAGTTTAAAAGTTATTAATTGTGACATATCTCTACTTTTACTTATTGTCTAAACTATCCCTCTCCTTGTTAATCTGCTAATGCTATTGGTCTGCTTGCGTTTTCTTATTAAAATTAAAGAATAAATAAGAAGATTTATTCTACAACTTTAAAGGTTAGCTGCCTCCCTAAGCGGACCCCCCCCCCTTATTTATTTTGTTAATCTACTTAATGTCATTAGACTTTCTGAAGTTTCTTATTTAATTTCATTTGATGATTATGATATCTTATTAGTCTAATTAAATAAATTATTGAAAGCTCTAATTCACCTAATCAATCATAACCCATGCTTTATTAAGTACCTCCACTTGTGCTTGTAATCTAAAATTAAACGTGTTTCACGTACTTTTGATTTTGGCCTATACCTATTTATTATATCTTAGTTCGACCCAGGTCACACCTTCATATGACTAAAATGCTTCATTTTGAAGTTAGTTTCCTAGCTGATTTTTAAATGCTAATGCTCCAACTATGCTCACACGCTTTCACTATGTTGCACCACAAAAATACGTATGGGTATGTCACAATAGAAGCACGCCACAGTGGAAATCCTAAGCCATAGTTCAAACACTTATCCCAAATCAAAATGAAGCACATATAAGCTTAGTTACAATACCATGTACAAAAATGGTGTTTAACATTGTTCCCTGAGTAATACCTCAATAAAAACAACAATGAAAGCTTGTCACGCAAATAGAAGGAGCACTGTTGGGCACTAGACTGATGCAAAATTTGAAATTTTCGCTCCACAGTACTCAAACGGTTCCAAATAGGACTCTGATTAGCCTCCCAAAATTTGAACTCATTTAGTGAGAAACTGACTTGGCACAAACCATTTGAAGTTTATATGGGAATTGATATGGAAAAACTCTAGTTTCGGTCCATATCTATCTCAAAATTCACCAGTTCACTCTACTTTAGAAAATTGTAGCTGAGCTCGTTGAAAATTTTCTCAGCTACAACTTTGTTGAAGGCCACTTTTCGATCAAATGTAAGGAACAAAAATTATTAATGATTCAAGTCACTGATGTCTTATGATTATGCTCAATGAACTGCTCAGCCGGCAACATTGGTGTTTATGGCGCGTAGAATATAGAACAAAAATCATGGCTACTATGTCACACTGCAGAATACAGTGTTGCCCACAATACAGTTGCTTAATTTTGCCATTAGATTATCAATCTCTTAAACAATTAATAACTATTTAATTTGACGTTTGACTGAAAAATGATGTTCTGCAAAGTTGTAGCTGAATTCCCAAGGCAAAAAGTCTACAGGCAAAAAATGTGCTGAGCAAAAGAGAAACGCACATTTTTTGCCTGTAGACTTGGAGACATACTTCAAGTCTCCGCGTACATCGTACGGGTTAGGCAAAAGATGTGCGTCTATCTTTAAAAACTGTCGCATTAATGGCCCTTCGCTCATTTTCAACTTCTATTCAATTTTCATACTGCCGTACTCTAACGGAACTATCCACCTACCCTCTTCTAAATATCATTCTCTAGCTAATAAATTATCACACTAAAGCTTCATGTTAGCATTTCCAACCAACTCTGAAAATCGCTAACTTCGCGTATGAAGTAACATAAAACACTTTGAATGAAACTATTACTATTTAAATACTCCAACAGTTGGCCTTTTACAACAAGTTCTAAAATGTTCTCAAATGTGTGCAACATGTTGATGGGACGAAACTCTTCGGCTTAAATCATTCCAGCAACTTTTTTAATAGGAACCACTAAGGATTCCTTCCAAATTTGGGACACATGTCCATTCTGCAATGATTTATTAATAAGGTCCAAAAAGATGTGGCCAATGACATGAAAGCAATCTTGAATAACTCTAGCATTACCATTGTCAACTCCAGCCGATTTTCCTTATGAAAAACAAATAACTCTAAGTTCATCTAATGTAATTGGGTGAAAAATTTTAAATCTACAACTACT